AGTCTTCTTGTCAGCCTCCTTCGTATCTAAATTGTCAATCTTCCGGAGCAAACCATTGATGACCTCACGATAACGTGGATGAACTTCTGGATCTATCCACTCCATATACTTACAAAAATTATGCCTCTGCATAACAAGATCAAAATTAAAAAAAATTCAGAGTGTCTCAACCCATGGAAGTAATCTCTCAAATAATTGAAAATTTCAAAACACCTACCCCATAATTTGAACAGCCCAGAAATCTCCTTCCAGGATTTGATTCAGTCCAAGCTGTCTTCAGAACGGCCTTTTCTCCGCATCTACACCTCGCGAATTGCATGCCATGGCTGTTGTTGCTTGAGACGCTAGACATTTTCCTAAATTAGGGTTCTGGCAATTATCGGGTAAAGGGGTGGCGATTTGGGAGTGCAGAGCCGGTTTATATGCTACGAAATAGGTGAGGAGGAAAGAGAGTGAGGTAGGGGAAGTGATTCAGCATCCATATCAGCACCCACGTCGGATGGTAACCGGCATTTGACCTAGAAACGGGCTAATGACTCATTAGTGAAAGGATTGTGTAAGTTGGGGGATTTTTGTGAAAGGATTTGAAGTTCAGGTACCACTTCGAAATTATAGCTAAAGTTCAGGTACCATTGGTGAAATTTACCCATATATATAGATATATATGTGTGTGTGTATATATATATATATAGAGAGAGAGAGAGACAATCCTAAATAGTCGAGAGCTTGGCAAGTAAGGAAATGAAATGGAATGCCACAATCCAATCAGCGTGTGGCAAGTGAGTGGTGTGGCATCTCGTGCAGTGGCAAGTCACTGTTTTTGTCAATTTTTATGATTTATTAATGCATTTTAATTATTAAAAATTATTTCATTTATCTTTTTTTAAATAGATGTACTCTTTTTTAAAAAATTTATTTCTTCTACAAAAAAAGGTAAAAATAATAAAAAAAAACCTGAACTATGCCTCACGCCTCACACGCTTGGCGTGGAGGAATGCTAAGCCACGCGAGGCAATTTTTCCAAATCTGCTGATGTGGCGCAGCGAGCAAGGAAATGCCTCGCCTCTGCGCATGCTCTTAAGAGCGCTCCAAATATTAAGCAAGATGAAACTGGAACATAAAATATTAAATGGAAAAAATATTTTATATTATCAAATAATTAATTAAAATATACAAATAAACATATGTGATCGAAAGGCGTAATACTAATTAAGAAAATTAGAATTGAATGAGGGAGTAAGAAATATTATTGAATGAGTATTTATAATGTATATAAAAACTAACAAACAGTGGTGTCAAATTTATTAGAATACCCAAAAATAATTTGGTTGTGTTCTGTACGCTTGATCTAATCTAATCTAATCTGATTTTTTGAAAATCTAGTATGATCTGATTAGATATGATCTGATTTTATTTATGATTAAAGTTATTTTTGAACTCATATGATTTGGTTTAATCTAGTCTGTTTGGATTTGATTTGATCTGAATAGATTTGATTTGATCTAATTCTAATAAGAATAAATAATAAACTGAAAAAATAAATTGAACAGAACGGACTCTTCGTGATTTACGCTACAAAAAAGAATTTTTCTCAAATAATTTGTCCCTAAAATGCTTTTGCTTTCAAATAAGATCACTCTTTCACATCCTATTCTAATTTGCACCAAATACATTTTCAAATATCTTTTTTTTTTCACAATGGAAAACTTTTATGGTACATAGGAGTAATAGGATAATACTTAGTTACTTACTCCATGTGTTTGAAACCCGTCGAGATAAAGAAGTGCGTTTTACTGTAATGTCCTTCTCTTGTTTGGATTTTTGACCGGGTGAAATGTAAATGTTTTAATCGCAATGTGTGTATTTATATGTACTCGAGGCTACATAAATAAATGATCAAATGCATTCACGCATTTCACATTTATATAAAAAACGCTTCATTGTTTTATTACTTGAGTAACTTATAAAACCATAACTTAACTATAAAATGAACCATAAAAAAGAGTGGGTTGTATAATTGGTTCTTTCAAATACTTGGTTTTTCATATTTAGTCATTTATTTCTAAATAGGATTATGCTATGTGTACCCCAAGATTTGTACCCCAATTTGTACCCCGCAGTTTTGCACCAACATTTTGTGTTGGTGTAAAACTAATTTTTGTTAAACGCACCAACATTTGTGTCCGTGTGAATTTTTATTAACGCACCAACACTTGTGTCGGTGTAAACCATCGAAATGTTTGTGCAAACCTGTGGTGTACAAATGGGGTATATTTGTTGGTGTAAGTGTAGCATGGTCNTTATGCTATGTGTACCCCAAGATTTGTACCCCAATTTGTACCCCGCAGTTTTGCACCAACATTTTGTGTTGGTGTAAAACTAATTTTTGTTAAACGCACCAACATTTGTGTCCGTGTGAATTTTTATTAACGCACCAACACTTGTGTCGGTGTAAACCATCGAAATGTTTGTGCAAACCTGTGGTGTACAAATGGGGTATATTTGTTGGTGTAAGTGTAGCATGGTCCTTCTAAATATTACATTGTCTTTTGAATTCCATTCTTCCTAGAAAATTTTTCCAATTTTAACTTTTAAGAGGTCAAGATATCAAAGTTTGACCAATGCGAAACAACGACAATTGAAATAAGTTATATTTAGTAGAATAAAAAATTATTTTATTCAATTATTATTGTATTATGATTCAAACTAGAATTTTTATCAAAAGCTGAAAATTGCAAAATGTTCTATATGAGTTCATGCATTAAAAATAATTTTTTTTGAGTAAATTCCATAAAAAATCTTTAGTTATATGTCATTTTACATATTTAGTCCCTACATATCAAATATCAATAATTTAGTCCCCAATTAGTATATTCTTTTCCACAAATAGTTCTTTATTAACATCTCTGTTAAGAACGTGAATAAAATTGTGTATCCACACTCCTCTTTCATCAATTGAGCTTCCTCCCTTCTTTTGTACTCATTCCCAAACCCGTCGCTGAGTTTGGAGCTCTAAATCCAAAACCAAAACGATCACTCATCTCTCAATTGTTCATCTTCCTCGTGGAATCCAAAATCGAAACCAATAACCTTCATGAATGAATTTTATGGGTTAGTCTCAGGAAATTATAAAGAAAACAAACCTTAAAATGCATTCATGAAGGTTATTCGTTTCGATTTTGGATTCTACCAAGAAGACGAACAATTGAGAGAGGAGGGATGATTTCGGTTTTGGGTTCAAAGCTTCAAACTCAGAAACGGATTTGGAAAAGAAGTGCAAGAGAGAAGAAGCTTAATTGAGGAGAGAGAGAAGCGTGAATTTATAATTTTATTCACATTTTTAACAGACGTGTTAACAAAGAACCATTCGTGAAAAATAATATACTCGTAATAGTTAGGGACTAAATTATTGATATTTAAATATGTAAAACGAACTAATATAACTGGAGACCTGTTATGGAATTTACTCTTTTTTTTTGAATAAGTATTAAAAATAATTTTGAAACAAATGGAGTGAATTTAGAGTGTGGAGTGAAGTCTGACTATCACCATGCTAGAACATTACCAACTTTGATACTACGGATGACAACTTTCTTGTAAATTTTCACACAAGATATAATCGTCTCATAAGTGAACTCTTACGAATTTACAAACCATTGTCATCTATGGTGTCAAAATCGGTGTCATTCTAGCATGACCTACAAATAATACCCATGCAAATGGTAAATACTGCAACCAAGATTGGAGGGTTTGAACACAAGAACTAGTTACCTAATAAGTTAATGTCAGAAATAATACAAGCAAAACCAAGAAAAATGAAAAGGTAGTCGGTAGTTCCGGGTTCTTTTCCTCTCAGAAAACAGGTTTCAAAGAAAATGCTAGAGAGATCGATACTCCAAAAGCTTAAAAAACAGTTCATAATCATAATAATAATACGAATCAAATCATACAGAACACAACAAATACATGACGAACCGTATCAAGATAGCACAAATCTACTCCGACTCATTGGTCGCATTGGGCTCTTCTTTGGTCTTCAAAGCAGGTGATGGTGATGGGGATCCGTCCTGGCCCATTTCTCCCCTCAGCTCGTTTATGCTCTGCTCCAATTCATTAATCCGCTCGCCCATCTCGTCAAGTGCAACATTGTCAAGGACAAAACTTTCAAGCAAAACACAATGTGGTCTTGAGCATTATACAATAAAAGAGACAACATGGTCTTGAGCATTATACAATAAAAGAGACAACATTTAACATGATGCCTTTCTCCCAACCACTAAAAAAATGCAAAATAACCAGCCAAACATGATTTTGAAGTCATGCATGAATATTATTTTTCTTTTCTCTCAGATGGAGGAAATATACATGATAGTGTGCATGGGAAATGCAAAGAATAGTTGCTCAATGAAATACTCATGTTTTGTATTACTTGATGTTTTAAGATATAGCACAAGAGTCAAAGAGAATTTACTAAGGTTAATCTTATTGGCCTGGTCTTAAGTCTTTATAGAACTAGGAGTATCAAAAAAATCTTAAATCCCCGTTTGGTTCACCTAGTAATGATGAATATCATGTTATTCATGTATGGATTTGGGAATTGCAAACTCATACCTTGAGTTTTGTTACAACCTCCTCCAAACTCCCCTCAAACCCATTCCCTAGACCCACACCCCCTCTGGTATCAAACTTATTATTGCAGTGTTGCTTATTCGGTCACTTTTGTAACAACCAAAGGTGGCAAGGAGACTATGTTGGCAACACTAAGAAGAAGAAGAAGAATGGAGCTTCAACCTAAAGTGACCAGACCTCCATCTTCTGATGAGAACTAAACCCTACTTTTATTCCTCAATACAAACCAAATACTAAAATTCACTCTATCATACCTGAACCCGATATATGAATTTTTGACCAAAGGGACCCTATCTGTAAGTACTTCTAAAACATCAAGTAAATAAAAACTACGGAGTATTTAAGAAGGCTAAAACATCAAGTAAATAAAAATTATGGAGTATTTAAGAAGGCTAAAACATCAAGTAAATAAAAATTACGGAGTATTTAAGAAGGCTAAAACATCAAGTAAAACAAAACAGGTGGAATATATGCACAAAAAGTCAATGAAAAAAGGATATTTTTTTGAACGATAGAGTCTGACATTGTCTGAAACCTACTTTGCTGCAAAGACAAAGAAATTCATTTTAGAAATAGAAAGATCAACAAAACATATAAATGGTAGAACCAATATGAAAAGATACAGGAGGAACAAGCTAACTCACCATTTGTTGAAGAAGACTTTGCACCTGCAATGAGTGAGAAAAGATACGGAAGGAAAAATAAATAAGAAGACAAGTAAACAGAGAGCATGAGCTATGGGTGATCATACATTAAAAGATCATTATAGAAAAGATTGATGGCATCTAGAATATAATAAGTTCACCAAAATGTTTCTATAATATCATGTTCGGGGTGAAGAACACATGAGTGGGAGAGACACATATAATACTTTTGGTTTGTTAGACATACATTTTACATTTACAAGAAATAGACATCATATGATCATATTACTAATATTATATTCCGTATTTATAAACCATATCAACGCCATCATCATCACAAGTTTAAGGAAAACATTCCATGTTTCAAAACGAATGGTTCTTCAGATGCAGATGGTATTTGCATAACTGATTTACATATTTTTCCCCTGGAGACACATTCACAAAGAGTGCATGCGATGAAACATGAAACCTTGATATTTAAGAATTAAGGTATGTGTATTAAATTCATTTTGTACTGTTTCTATTATACTATTATACTCGAAACACCCATGATTGCTTGTTACATATAATCTCAAAGTGGTAAAACTCATTTTTATTCTGAAGACTTACAAACTGAGTCATATCAGCAGTGCTTTCTTTTGAGCTATCTCCATCCTGCCAAATTAACATTTAAGATGTTGAGCAGTATACACAAAAGTACCAAAGAGTACACATGTACCTACATTGACTTAGAGTCTGACCACTAACTAATTCACAAGCATGTGAACATATTCCATATAAAAAAACCAGCTTCAATGTTTGAGTATCTTCGAATTTCAATTATATGGATGGAAAAATAAGTCAAATCTATTCCAAATAAACAATTGTTAGAATATGCTTGTATGGCCCCAAAACTGTAATGTTCATTAACCATTGCACTCCGATCAATTTATATGTAGTGTGCCCAAACAAAAGAATTGCTCAAGAATAGAAAATAAGAATGAAAAAACGTATGTTGTTCCATATATAGTGCAACTGAGGTCATTTAAACTGTTGCATCAAAATCACTCAAGTATGTAGATATTGCAAGAATAAAGAAGAAAAATAACCAACATTGGCAGTACGAGAAACAGAAACACGTCATATTAGCATTAAATCAAGCTCTCACTAGTATAGGGTCTTGTTGCTAAATTACAAGAATATACTCGTAATCCCCGTCTCACAAACAACTAGCAGGCAAGTCAAAGACAAGAAAAGTTCTATTTTCAAACTTTGCAGCAAAAAAATTTCCATTTTATAAGCAGAAACCAAAGATGGAGCTCTATATCTGAAAAAATGAATTATATTGCCGACCCACAGTGAGCTGTGAAGCCCACAACCCCTCAGAACTGAACCCACCCATGTAGAATGCCTAAATCTAAATACAAACACTTAGCAACTAACATGAAAACCACATTGTCCAAAAAAAACATGAAAACTACGTTTACCATTTGACTGTGATACCTTGTTTATCAAATGAACAAAAAACGCATCGGTCATATTTTTCTAGACTCCATATCTAATTCCGGCATTTCATCAATAGGCAAACCAAATCACACATCACTATACAGATCAAAACTCGAAAACTATAGGCATACGCAAACATAGAAATGATCAAACGTTCCGAAACTGTAATTACAACTGTGAGCCCTAAATCTGGAACAAAACTCTTAAATCGGAATTTAAAATAATGAAACCAGAAAGGTGGAACAAAACCAGAGTTACCATGATTTGCAATGGATTATTAGCCGAAAGGAGCTCGAGTGTCTGATATCTGAGCGAGTAAGGAGGCAAGATTTCCCTTTTTAGGGTTGGGTGCTGTGCGGGATTGAGAAATTGGAGACTGGAGTTTTGTGAAGGGATTTGATGGTAATTTAAAATTTGCAATGACAAAATGGGTCCCGTCCCGACTTTAAGAAATTCTTTCTCTTGTGTCTTTTTTGAGATGTGTAGGTTCAAATTCATTTGAAAAATACTCCGTATGAACCCAAAGGAATAACTCCAACCATGGCTTCAAGTTTTTTACAAACTTATTGTGTCTATCACATAAGCAATAACAATCTATGTAATGTGTTACAAAACTTGAAGTCGTGGTTGATATTACTCCATCCGTCCACCATAGATTTTCCCAGACGCTATTTACAGGGTCAAACTTAATTCATTTTGTTTATTTTTATTACTTATTTTATAAAATAATATAGTGTTGTCACATCTAGTTTTGTAAAACTTTTCATCTAGTTTATTACTACATAGATTTTATATTAAAATTTCACCCCTATATTCAAATAAATTGAATTGAAAATAAAATCAATCAAGCCTCGTAACACGCAACGAGAAGATCTTAGGTAGACGGAGGGAGTATTATTTTACATCGTTACTCTAGCCTGGTTGAATTGGTTTCAGACTTACGTAAAACTATTTTGGCTGATATGACATCTGAAATAATTAGTTATTTTACATCTTTACTTTAGCCCGGTTGAATTGGTTTCAGACTTACATTAAACTATTTTGCCTGATATGACATTTGAAATAATTAGTTATTTTACATCGTTACTCTAGTCCAGTTGAATTGGTTTCAGACTTACGTGAAACTATTTTGGCTGATATGAAATAATTAGTTAGTAGCGCATCTAAAGTAATAAAACTAAGTTAGACGTCATTTACTCCTTTATTGTTAAATATTACCGAGTGATCCTTATTTTATGAATGCATTTCTACAAATAGTAACTTTTTAATATCTTTTGTCATATTTGTGTTAATTTGAGGGTTAAAAGTTCAATTTAACAATGGTCATACACAATTCTAGAGACCGTTTTGAATGCATCGTTTGTGAATAGGAGTCGTTTTCTACTACAATCATAGTTTACAGATGTGGTCTTCCGTCTGGATCCTAGTCCACAGTCATTATTGATGTGTTGTCCGCCTAATCGACATCAGAATATATCATTGGATATAACGTTGATGTCAAATTACATTTTAGCGCTCAAATTAATATCAACATGACATAAGATTACAAAAAAGACTATTTGTGGGAAATGTAACTAAAAAAGAAAGACCACAGGAGTAATATTTGATAATATAAAACTAAATATAAAAATCCTCCTATTATAAATGACTAATAATTATGGAATTTACTCTTTCAAACATTTCAAATCGAGGGCTTTCTCAATTCTCATCCATCTTTTTATCATCGGCTGGGTTCTACAACCACTCAAAAAGAGTGGCTATGGAAGCCACTCACCCAATTGGGATACCCTTCGTTTGTACAATTGATAGTTTCTACCCCTAACTCCCCTCTCACCCGTTAAACCCTCACCTAGTCCTGGACCTAACTCATCCCCCAACCATGTCAATTGTTGGGTGCAAGTTTAGTTGACTTTCGAGTTAGAATTTTAGACTCCTAAGTCAATTAATTTTGAACCCCACAATTGACGTGGTTGGGAGGAAGAGTTGGGATCAGGACTCAGTGGGGGGATTTATCGGGGGGTTAGGGGTAGAAAGTATCAATTTTGTAATGAAGCACCGTAGGCAGTTCAATAGGGTGACTGGCTTCTGTAGTTACTCTTTTTGAGTGGCGGTAGAACGCAGCTGTTTTATCATAATTTCAAATCTATGAAATCTTGTAATTTTTTTAAAATTGTTGATGCCTAAATTCCAAAATTTATCCTTTATAAGGGGAAATTTCCCGATTTAGTCTTCTATTTAGTCTAATTTTATTGTGCCAGAAATAATAATTCGTACAAAGATTGTGATTTTTTGCCAATTTTTTCTTTTGAATATTTTCAGAAATCTATTATCCATTTAGGGTTATTATTAAAGTCAAACTGTATCCATTATATTTTATATTTTCATTACTCCTTTAACAAAATCATACAGTCATATCATTTTTTGTTCTATACTTCGTAAATCATTTGATATGCTTTTAAATGTATAAAGTCTACTTTTTAAATTATCTACATAAACAATTCATGTGGACTTCTATAAGTGGTAAATATTCTCCAAACTTTTAAAAATTGCAAAAAAAAATCACGGTGATTGAAAAACAACTACATAATCAGTCCTTCTGTTAGGAAATATGTGAAGTGTGTACAATACACACATATTATGTGAAGATGTCAAGCATGTAACAATAAAAGATCGAGCAAAAAAACAACAAAAGAACTTATTTGAAATCTTTAAATGTGATGTGTAGACTTGAACCGTAGAACAATGTGTTAGACCTTTTGATTCAACTCTCTGAATAATTTTTTCATCCCTGCATATTCATAGTGATCCATAATGTGTGGCATAATAAGTGGAAGAAGACATTTCCATACTTTTAACCACCAATTCATTAGATTAGCCTCTTTATTTTGTTACATGCTTCATATTTTTGCATAGGGTAAAAAATGATTTTAGGCAGCGTTTAGTTCAACCTCTTTTTTATGCTTATTACTCATTCTTATTAAAATCAGATCAGATCAAATCAGATAAAATCAAATCATGATATATCTAATCGGATCTGATCCAATCACATCAGGTTCAATCGGATTAGATCTACAAAAATTATTATTATTCTTATTATTACTATTACTATTACTATTATTATTATTATTATTTATATTTATGTTATTATTATTATTATTATTAATATTATTGTTATTAGTACAATTATTATTGCTATTATTACTATTATTATTACTATTACTATTACCATTACTATTACTATTACTATTATTATTATGATTAAAATGATTATTACTATTGTTATTGTTATTATTATTACTATTATTATTATTACTATTATTATTATGATTATAATTATAATAATAATTATTACTCCGTACTATTACTATTGTTATTAAAAAAAATAACTATTATTATGGTTATTATTATTATTACTATTAATATTTTTATTATTATTAATTATATTATTATTATAGTTATTATTCTTATTACTATCATTATTATTCTCATTATTATTTCTATTATTATTATTATAACTATTATAATTAATAATAATTTTAATTTGAATTTAAATCAAATTTATATCAGATTAGAACCAATGAGATTAGATTATATCTGATCTAATCAAATGAAATCAAAATTTCAAAAAATCAGATGAGATCAGATCAGGTGAACGGAACACTACATTAGTCCCTGTAAGATAGACGAATTTTGTTTTTGGTCCCTATGAAATATTTTTTTGTTAAAGTCATCCTTACAAAAAACTTAGTATTGCATCACACATTTATTTCGTATTCAACAGCTTAGTATTACATTTTAAATTACTTCTGATAAAATTCTAATGCCTTAAATTGTGTACTTTATCAAATTAAATCATCAATTATAAATTTTTATTATATTATATTCCTAAGAAATTTAGAAATTAGTGATGTAATATGAATAAATACCCAAATTAGGGCTTGGAAATTGCGTCAAACGTAATTAGAAATGTAAGACTAAATGCATATTTTACATGGAGTAAATACATATTTAACTTTTGCACAACCCAAAAGTCCAAAACTGTGATGTCTCTAGGGACCAAACAAACTAGGTAAATGCCTAGGGCCCCCAAAAATTTGGGACCCCTAAATTACTACTTTTACAATATAGTTTTCACCAAAAATTTATATTATCGCATGCAGTTTATAGTTATGCCACTTGGACAAAATTCAAGATTTAAAAGGCCACTCTAAGCCCAAAAATAGGAGCTGTTAACATACAATGAGAACTATGGTCTTGATGCTTCAGGTCTATTTTAAGAATTGAGAATTTTTTCAAACAAATGGTGAAAGTCAAAGAGTGGTATGAGGTTGGTGCATTGGATCATCTAAAAAGGTTAAATTGTTTTCCAAATACATATGTTACTTTCAGAAGTTTAAAATCATCAATGTCTCAAAAAGACCACCACATGATCTCAGTTTATCCTACTTTAAACTGAATCTAAAACTAGAAAAAGCACAGCTAGGAAAAGAAACTTATACAAAAAGCTAATACTTGGGGATGTTAAATTTAGTATTAAATAAATGAATGAATGAATAGATGGTATACAAGAACTCAATGTATGATTCTATAAATCCCTACCTCTATCTGTAGGTCACTCCAATCTGTGGATTGATTGCACTCTTGTTAAGAGGGCTAGCTATACCTTGACAGCTTTAGACGAAGGGTGAAGCAGCCCGTATTCGTCTCTTATTTCAAGAGGATTGCTAGACTCATTGCGAATCCTCTTCACTCGCTTGCTTGAGAGATCCTTGTGGATGAACCCATACATCTGCAGAATCTGGTTGTCCCCAAAGTTGAACGCGCGGTCCATCTGCTTCAAGCACCTCTCCACCGGATAGTCCCCAAACTTCAGACATGGCTTGCAACCCACAAAGTGTGTCACCAGAGGCCACCTTTGATCGCCGAAACCAGGGTGGTAGGTTTCCATCAGATCTTCATACTTGTCCACCAAAATCCCCCAGTAGCCGTGCAAGTAGAAGGTGCTCTCCAGGTACACCTTGGGTGCCCACTTTTCCTTCTGGGTCACCAGCAGATACACCATTGCAGACTGATCATCAGCTTCGAAAACCGGTCTGCCCTTGAGCTCCCTGGTCAGCATTTTCCCTGCCTCCTCCCTGACCTTCCCCTTAGGTCCCATAGGGGCCAGTTCATCAAGAATGTCTAATGACCACTGGCAATTTCTCAGCAGAAAGCTACCGGTGTTCAATCCGATCCAATTCCTGTCTCCATACACCATATGATCCCAACCGTGGATGATCAGATTGGACTCTTTGTACTTCTCCCATGGCAGCTCAAATGCCATGTCTGTGAACATGGCATCACTGTCCATCCACCAGAAGAACTCGACCTCGGGGTGGGACAGCATGAGCTTCCTAATCAATGGCAGTTTTGCCCAAAACCCGGACATTTCAGAATCGAGCAGGGCCAAATTGTAGAAAATCTCAATCCCATGTAACCTGCAATAATCAATCTTGTTCTTGATAGCCTTTAACAAGTAATGATCCCCAATCGGATTCTCACAGGGTTTCGGGGATGACCCGGTAACCAACATAACCCTAGGTTTATTGCGCCTGTGGAAATTGGGGAAACCTCGATTTCTCCTCAGCCACAGACCCCTCTGCCGATCCCAATTGCTAATCTTCGGCCCTAGACTGTACGGAACGGCCGGATCACGGACCGGTTCCGCCTCGCCGTCGTCTTCGTCGACCATAACACTAGTCACGTCGAATCCATTGTAACTGTTAGTGGCCGAGACGCGGCCGGAGGATTCTTCGAGAAAGCGGCGCGGCTCGGTCCGCTTGCGGTAATGGTTGAATGTATCTCGAATGTTCTTCAAGTCCTGCTCTGGAGTACCGAACTTTCCGGCGCCGATGGTTCCGCGGAGGACGACGACGGTGAGAACGAGGCAGAGGAGCGTTAACTTACAGTGACGGAGATGTCGCCGGACACGCCACGCCCGCCGCGGACCCAAGAACCGTTCGAGCATTTTCCTCTGTGGTGTCTCAGACCGAGAGTGGGATAGACAAAATGAGAATGGAAAAATGAAAATTTGGAATTGTATTTTGGTAAATTTAATACTCCCCTCTCCCAAAATAGTTTTAAAAAAAAAGAGACTCACATTCGATTTATATAAGTAACAAATTACTGTATAATTAAAAATTATATATTAAAAAATTACATCCGTGATTTTATAAACCAAGTCGTGATACAATTATTTCATTTTATCAGCTGATCCATTAAAATATACAAAAAAATAGATTAGATTTGACCCGTAAATAGTAACTAGGGGTGTTTGTTTTTTGGCCAGAAGAGCTTCTGGCCTCTTTTGTCTGCGCCGCGCAGACGCGCGCAGATGTTGAGCTCTGCAGATTGTTTGTTTTTAGAAGATATTTCACTCAAAAAGGTTTTTCTGGCATCTTCTTGGAGAAGACATTAACTTATATCTTCTAACATCTTCTCCATTTTTTTCTTCTACTTCTCTTCACCACCACCACTGTCCACCACCATCATCACTGTCCACAATCACCGCCACCGTCGTCCGCCACCGTCCACCACTACCACCGTCCACCACCACCGCCACCACCACCACCGTCCACCACCGCCGCCGTCAACGTCCACCACCACCCTCCACCACCACCACAATCGTCCATATACCACCACCGTACACTACCACCATTAATTTATATAGAAGTGTACAGACATTAAAAAACAAACAGTCTTCTTCTTGCAGACCGCAGACCTTCGGTCCACCACTTCTCCTGCAGATGTCTACAGTAGTGGTACGCAGACTACAAAACTTTTCCTGCAGAAAAAACAAACACCCCTAAAAGTTTCTAATAGATTCTTTACAAGTGAAACCCCAAAGTCTCAAGAAAGGTTACTCATAAGTACACGTCGATCAATAACAATCAAACTTTTCTTCTTAGAGTAATTGACGAATGTTCAGTGGTGGGCTAATTAACTCTCTCTAAACTTTTCTCTAGCTCTCCCAATTCTTTTTATCCAACTTTGGTAGGCCTCAATGATACAGCACATTTGGTGCCATAACATTCCCACTTGTGAGTTGTGACGCATTGTTATCATTATCACGTATGTGTTAAGTTTGACGAGATACTGTGAATCGTTAGTTGAAATCGAATCATACAGTTCAGGATGATTAAGGTCAGGTCAATTCATGATAGTTTAATGTAGTTTTTAATTATAGAAATTTTATTTTTTTAATTTCATTTTAATTAAATTGAATAAAAATATTTTTAATCAAAACTCATAAATAATAATAAACAATTTAAACTAAGATAGAGAGACTTTATTATCAAACACGTCCCCGCTGTTTGGCACCAAAATAAAACTCAAATCAGCTGCCTCCAGGGACTAATGGAATCAATGCTTTTGTGCAATTAAATAAATTAAAAAAAATACAACCATCGTCCAAAATCCAAATGCGCGTGTCGAATTTGAATTCTTATAGTTTAACTGGACGAATTTTGTTTATTAATTACATAAAACTTACTCCGTATATTTTATTCGTTCCAAAATGAACGGTATATTTACTATTTATAGAGTCAAACTTTATTCACTTTATTTTTCTATTTTTATTAGTCATTTGATAAAATAATATAGTCATGTCACTACTAAATTTATAGATCTTTTGATACAGCTTTTAAATATGTAATTTTTATTTTTTAATTGTACATCATTTTTCATATAAAATAATTTGTAAATAACTTCTGTCAAATATCGTAAACTGAGTTGAAACAGACAACCTAAATTGGGACGGATGGAGTATTTCATATTAATGTGAAAAAGATTTAATTATATCTATTTTGTAAAAATAATTTAAAGTTTGATTTTATTAATATTTACAATACAATGTATGGAATAATATTTATTTAGTTGATAATTAACGTTTTTAATACTAAAAGTCAAACTTGACAAACACAATTTGATGAAAATAGTTATTACAAATACAACAATAACAATAATTCAATTGGATCCTACAAGAGCAGGTCCTGGAGAGGATGTGTGTACGCAAGAGTAGAGAGCATGTTTACCAAGAGGCCTCCATCTCAAACAACATAGATAAAATAATTAAACAACATACATAGCAGAGATAGCAAAAAGAAACCAATAATAAACTAATTAAACGAAACAAAAAACACATTAAGCAAAGAGCACTAAGCCTAAAGTGTCTTCCCAGTTACCCTAATTTTAACTCTCAAGATGCTCTTATATAAGGTCTTCATATCCTAAATAAGGGCAAGAATACTTAGACCCCGAGTAATCACTTCCTTCTCATTCTTCCTCGGTCTATCCTTTCTCATACTCCTACCCACCAACGTAAGTCTCTCGCATATCCACTCAGAGCGTCAGCACTTCGCAACCTCACATGTTTAAACTACTTCAGCTTAGGTACACGTAGCTTATCCTCCACAGGGGCCACGCCTACTCATCCTCGGATAAGCTCGTTATGAATCATATTCATCATCGTCTTTCCACTCATCCACCGTAGCATCCGCATTTTCGCCACACGCCATTGACAAACGTGGGTTTCTTAACTGTCCAGCACTATGCACTCACCAACTAATGATGAACAGAGTAATTACAAATGCAATTTTCGAAAAGAGTAATTATGAATGATGAACAAAATTATATTAAAATGAATGAAAACTATGAATTTAAGATTGTGTGCTCGTGTGACAAGAATTTCAGATTTTAACTTTGACATCTTGAAAAACTATCTAATGACAACGGTTAGTTTTAACATTTTTAAAATTAATGATCTCAACCATTAAAGAATTATTCAAAATGCTAACACTAATTAAAAAAGTAATTCACAAATAAGGCCTTTGAAGTACTCCGCAAGGCTGCCCCTGGGGGTAGGCCAGAGGGGCAGCAACCTCAGGCCTGTCATCAAAAGGGCACCCAAAATTTTTTGACAATATATTTTCGGTTGAAAAAATTATTTTAATTTTTGCACTTCAACAGATAGCACCCAAGGACAACAATATTATTGTCATTTTTGGCAATATGTCACCACTTATTCATTTTTGAAATGTCACACTTATTCATTCCTTAAAAATGAGTTTTAGTTAAATAGAAAAGAATATTGTAGGACAAAAATGTATGATTTAGGAAAAATAGATTTGTATGACACAAGCATAAGTCATCTGTGATATAGATGAGTTGTGTCTCTGCAAAATAGACTAATAAGTATGTCTGCGTACTACTCCCTCCGTCCCCGAGTGTTTGTCCACTTTCATTTTTGCACACCATCCAATGCACATCTTTAATCCATTTTATCTTGTAATTTGTATATTAAAAAATTATAAAAATTATATATTAATAATCTATATGTTAAGACGAATCAAACAAGATCACACATGACTATTTTAGGCTTACACATTGAGAGAATTTGATGAGTCAAAGTGCTTAGATGAACAGTTCCAAAAGTCAAAAGTGGACAAACACTCAGGGACGGACCAAGTACAAATTTTGGATAATGTGCATCTAGTGTACATTACTTGGTGTATATCTAGCATGATTGTTTTTAATTAGAATCTAAGCTAGTCACTATAAAAGGGTGTTGCTTAGTATAGATCAAGGTGCCTATATCAAAGCCCTTTAGCCTATCCATGGTGTCTTTAAACTATAAAACAGCAAAACCATCTCATATCAAATTCAAAATGCCTTGTATCAAAATGCATTTGCCCTTTGCTTCTCTTCTTCTTCTACTATCTTTCAATATGATCTCCTCCTTTTGCCTCGCCGCCACGGCATCTTCTTCTTCTTCATGCCACCCGGATGATGAAGCCGGGCTTCTGGCATTCAAGGTGGGTATTACCAGTGACCCGTCTGGATTCCTCTCGTCGTGGGTACCCGGATCCGATTGTTGTCGTTGGTCCAGTGTCCAATGCGGATCCAAACATCGGGTCACTGTTTTATCCATTTATGGGCAAGAAGAGTACAATCGAACTCTGGGCGGTACCATTTCGCCCGAACTCGCCAAACTCAAGTATCTGGACACCATTTTGCTTCAATATTTAAAAGGTTTGACGGGTCCTTTTCCCGGGTTCCTATTCGGGCTTCCCATGATCCAAACCATTTTCATTGTGGATAACCAGTTGTCCGGTCAAATACCTGAAAGCATCCGGAAACTAACCCGGGTCCGTTCCATGAGTTTCCAGGGGAACCGGTTCGCCGGGCCAATACCGAGTTCAATCGGCGAGTTGACTCAGTTGACCGAGCTCCACCTCGGCAGCAACCTTCTCTCCGGCAAGATCCCGGACAGCATCCGGCAGCTCAGGCAACTGAAAACTCTGAACCTCGAGAATAACACCCTCTCCGGCACCCTGCCGGACCTGTTCGACTCGTTTCTCGACCTCGAAACACTCAGGCTATCCTTCAACCGATTCTCCGGCGGAATCCCGAACAGCATTTCCAGCCTGTCGCCGAAACTGCAGTTCCTGGAGCTCGGCCATAACAACCTGAGAGGCGAAATCCCGGGCTTCCTCGGAAAATTCCAGGCGCTGGAGAAACTAGATCTGTCCTGGAACCGCTTCTCCGGCGTCGTGCCGACGAGTTTCGTGAATCTGACAACAATATTCGACCTAATCCTCTCTCACAACCAACTGGAGGATCCATTCCCGGAGATGAACGTCGCAAGAGCACAATCACTGGATCTATCGCACAACAAATTCCACCTGAAAGAGATCCCGAGGTTCGTCACATCGTCTCCCAACATGTTCGTCCTGAGGCTGGTGAAATGCGGCCTGAAGATGAATCTGGACGATTGGAAGCCGGAGGAGTATTTGTTTTACAGCTACATCGACCTATCGGAGAATGATATAACAGGGAGTCCGGTGGGGTTGCTGAACAGAACGGATTATCTGAGAGGGTTTTATGCGTCCGGGAACAAACTGAAGTTCGATCTGGAGAAGATGAGGCTTAATGAGGTGGAGTTGAATGAGCTAGATTTATCTAGAAACAGGGTGTTCGGGAGAGTTCCGGCCGCCGTCGCCCAGCTTCGGAAGGTGAATCTCAGCCACAATCGGCTGTGCGGCCAGCTTCCGCCGACGAATTTCTCGTCCGGTGCGTTCGCCGGGAATCCTTGCCTCTGTGGTGCTCCTTTATCGCCCTGCAAACTTGACTGAGGAGCAAGTTACTCCGCATCTTTTATCAAAGTTGACAACTAAAAAAAAAGAGTCGAAGTTGACAACAATAATTTGAGATAAGCCAAAAAATTATCTCCAACCATAAATATATTGTTTTCCTTGTTTACTTAAATTACTCCCTCCATTCCAATTCTAATTGTTTTTTATTAGTAAAATTTGCACTAAATAGGACTAAAACATAATAATTTTTCCAATGTAAGACTTAAACTTTTTTATTCTCTAAATAAGACTTAATAATGACCTCGTGGGAGGAATAATGTCCAGTAATGATGGATATTTACTTGAATAATGACTCTTGATAATGACCAAAAGTCCTACATTAGAAAATAAAAACATATGGTCCTATATTGGGAAAGTCATTATGTTTTAGTCCTATTTAAGTAAATTTCTCGACCTAAGTTACACCGGCGCACGGGAACAAAGCTGGAATAATCATCGTCCAAGACAAATAAACAAGAACATTGAAAACCTATTTGTGCTTAGTTGCTTCAGAACATAAATTTGGAAAAAACTTTTAACTCAATAGCAGAATAGTCGGAAGATAAAATAAGTGTGCCATGAATATTCTAACATTATTGTTTATAGTACTCCGTATTTGACTAGTACTCCAATAATAGCTATTTAATCATACGCTACACATAATAAATTGTCTCATGCAATTAAAAACTAATGACTGGCTAACTCTGAAATAGTGTGGATTGATTTGAACTTTCATGTATAAAGGAATAGAAGGTTGGTTCAAAGTACATGGAGAGAAAGAAGAATCCGGAGCTTAAGATTCCGATACTCAAAGACGAGATGATGAGAGTCAGAGCCAAGATAATGAGCCCAGAACTTGGGGTCCCAGGACTTAGAGCCGAGACAATGAGCCTGAGACCTGAGTCGTGGAAATTAGATCCATGACAGTCGAGACGATGAGCCTGGGGCCTGGCCTCAACCTAAAAGGCAAACAACCTCCCTTCTAAGGAAAAAATGAGTCTGGAGCCTGGGACCTGGATCTTTAGAGTAGCTCTTATGTAAAGAGCATCATTTAGATGTAAACAAAGACAACATGTTATCTAGAGAGTAAATTACACAATACACATCATTTATATGCAAACAAAGATAACATGCTATCAAGAGAGTAAATTAGATGGAGTGATACACATTAATTTGTTTATCAAATATTAGAAACGAACAATTAACTCCGGACGCATGAAATAAAAAAAATGAACAATTAAAAATCAAAATGGAGAGGGGGGAATGTCCAAGTGAGGCAAGTGATTATAACACAACTTAATGCAGTGGATATAGTTCTGCACGGCACTGGCATAATTACACAGACACTTTAAACTGCTTCTTGTGAGCTGTCGTCTGCCGCACATTCAGCATCAGGAGACTGTTGATCAGTGACTACGACATGGTAACATCGTGTGCAAAGTGTAGGGTGGTCATCAAAGGAACCAACTTGAGGCGAATAGTTCCAACACCTTTCACATTTCTCACCCTTCGCGCGTGACACGCCAATCCATACTTTACTTCCCCCTTGGATAATACACTCTCCCGTGTACTCTATATCTTTAACCCTTTCATCTTCCAAGGATGGAAGAACCTCCACCTGCCAACCACGATTTTGGGAATACGAGTTCAAGAAGCTTTAATAAATTGATGCTCGTAATGAATTCTGGAGTCTCAGATGCTACCAACTCATACCTGGGATGTTATGAAGATCCGTTTCAATTCATCAGCATTGGTTTTGGGCTCACAAGTGGCTTCCTTTAGACGCGCAGCGAGTTTACTATCAGAAGTGTGTAGATAGACCATTGCCTCTAAACTGGCACCAATCAATTTTCCAGCACGGGCGACTTCCAGAGCTTTGTTCACTTCAGTTCTCAGCTGATGAAAAAAAGGTTGTTCAACTCTTTTCATCATAAGATGCTAGAGGAATGACTATTACGATATATTCATCTCAAGTGAATCCTATAAACAGAGGTGTGTCTGTTGGTTAGAAAAAAGATGTTTGGTAAGATAAGCTATTTGCATCACGTGTGTGCCAAAAACACCATCTGCTAAAAGATTGAAAAACACGCTTTTCTTAAAACCAGCTTTTTGAGGCCAAATTATTGTTTACCAAACACTCCTAATAGTAGTGTGATCGCATTCGAACATCTCATTAACCTAAAAAAGCTCTCCAATAATCATATTGCCAAACACCCTCAAAGATAAAAATGGTTACCTCAAGAACTTTCCCCAAGAAATCAACCCCTTCCTCTGGGAAAGAAAGATGTCTTTCATTTGTTTCTGGCCAACCTGACTCAAAAACAAATTTGGCAACATTTCCATCTTCAGTAGTATAGGGGAAAGGAAGATGCTGCCAGACATCCTCAGCCAAATGCGGTACAATTGGAGCAACTATCCTTGTAATTGAAAGTAAATGAGTAGCAAGAACAGTTTGACAACTTCTTCTTGTAAAACTACTACTCCCCCTGCAGATTAACAATTTCCGCACACATTCAGGATGCAGATTCAAAAATAAACTCACAGTAACATTTCATCCAAAATATTTAAAGGAAAACACTTTGGAAGCATAATATAATTGATATGGAAAGTTTAGCATTTACAGAGTAGCATGCTACTAATTAGTCTATGACTCTATTGTGTAAAAAAGTGATTTCCAGAGCAGCAGTCCGATCAAGCAACCGCTCAGCATTTTCTCATTCAATTAACTAGTTATTTTTGGAATATCAAAGTGTTGGACGATGGGAATTACATGATAAATCATATCACAAGACAAATGTAGTCATTGGCTATTGCTCATAATATTTCAAAACTTACCCAACATAAAGTCGATCTTTTGCTACATCAAAGTAAAAGTTGGAGAGATCAACAATGACAAAGCGTTGAATGATCTACAGTGATTTAAAACAAGAGAGTTAAATTTTTTTAAAGTTAAATAAAAGGAAAAGAAAGTAACCAGATGATTGTAGTTTTCTCAGTGCTTTTGTTTGTTTTGACCTGATAAATCTTGTAAAAGTGATAACTGTCATAGCTTTCTTTGATGCTTTTCACAACAGAGGAGAGCTGAAATAGAGCATGCTGGTCAATCATTGGAAGGTCACAATATGGAACTGCATAGCTGGGCTGCAAAAAAACTCAGTTCTTGAGATGCAGGAAAGATGAAATGTACATGAAAAATTGGGAAGATCAGTAGAATATGTTTCATGGAAAATAATAAAAAGATTTAAGGTAGAGATATCTACCATGCACTAGCAATTTCTCTTTCAGGATTTTCTTTTAAACTACATTTCACTGGCAAAGATTGAAAGTTGGAAGATAAACAAGCAATATTTTCCAGTTATTAGGAAACTTCTTTCTTAGATAGTCAAGCTTACTTTCCAATCATGCAGATTTGCCAAGAGAAACCGCAAAGTTCCTCGCAATTTCCGGTACATGTCAGACATTTGACGGAGGATTTGAGGGCCTATCTGCACATCACCTGTATAGTCTACACTTGAAACCCAGAGTCTCAAGACATCAGCACCATAGGGTGGTGCCTCCTGTCAAAGATGAGGAGTAAAAAAAACTTGTAAGTTGTAAATAGTAATCCTGGAAACTGATATTGTTTTTAGCCCAGTATCACCAAATAACAAACCTTCTGGCTTTTCCCCCCGTCAATCACAGTCCTAGGATCAACAACATTTCCCTTAGATTTACTCATCTTTTCCCCTCTCTCATCGAGTACAAATCCATGGGTGATGACCCCAGAATAAGGGGCTTTTCCTACAATGTTTTAATAGATCATGAAAACAAATGTTATCAGAGACAAATCAAGTTAATGTTTGAAGTACGCAATGGAACCCCTAAGATATTTGAAACATGGAAAGAATATGGACAGATAAGCAGCACATGAGCACATTAAACAGTCCATATCCATAAATACTCCATCCCAAAAATCTTTACCCAGTTTGACTTTCACAAAGTATAAGAAAAATATTGAAAAGTGAAGTTTATGGTTAGAATTTGTTTAGCTGAAAAAAATTTGCGAGCCACATGTCGGGTGAGTGAGAAGTGTTTTTCGGGACATTCAAAAAGAGAATGTCGGTAAAGTTTTTGGGGACGGGCCAGAGAGGGAGTATGTTACATGAAAGAGCTAAACATGTAAAACACTATTATAGGATGCTCCTGACCTTTGCTAGCAATGCTTGTCAACAAAGAACTTTGGAACCAACCACGATGCTGATCTGTGCCCTCAAGATATAAATCTGCAGGGTAATGAAGGTCGCTCCTCTTTTCCAGCACAGCAGCCCATGAAGAGCCTATGGTAAAAAACTGTTGGATGACTGGTCCAGAGGGAAAATGAATGATGATGATGATAATAGACTAGTACATTCTCTACCTGAGTCAAACCAAACATCCATTGTATCAGTCCCTTTCTCGTATTCTGATGCTCTGTCACGGTACTTATCAGGAAGTAATTCTTCAACTGTCATATACCACCATGCATCACTACCCTTTTGAGAAATGATTGCTGCAAAAATAGTAACTTTGATTTCAACGTATTTTCATGTTTCGAAATCCCACATCTCTTGCTCAATTATCAATGATTTTAATGCTTTTTATTTACTTCTACAAAGCAATGTGACAGATAGTTACAGCTTTCTCTAAGAAGATTTTGTATCAAAACAAACAACACAAATCAATCCAAACACTTTTAGGGTATGGGGAGTCGAGATGTATCCAACCTTACCCTTGTAAACAAAGGGATTTAAAATAATAATGGCACTTTTATGGTTCGCAATTGCTAAAGACTAGGTGTTTTTAAACACTTCAAATACAAAAATGCGAGTTCGGAGCTTCTCGATAATAAATTTAGCATCCGATAGAAATTCAGAAAATAACATGCTTTACTTCTTTCCAAGAGGTGCAGAAAATGAATTTGAACAAATAAACAAGATGAAATATTCATAAATCATGGCAGGAAGAATTTACATTTAATATGACTAATTGTTTCTTCTTTCAAAAGCGGCTCCTTTGACTCCACATGGTAAAAGACGGGAATGGGAACACCCCATGCTCTTTGTCTGGATATACACCAGTCATCACGGATAGAAATCATTGCAGAAATACGACTCACCGCCTAGAAATAAAAATATTATCTACAAAATTTAGAAAAATATTGAATTCGGATGAGATTAGCATAAAGAGAAAACCCAAACCCACCACTAACCAAAACATATTAGTACTCGGGGTAATACCAAATAAGAAAACACAAACAATGAAAAATATGTATTCTCCATGCCAGGGGTGGGAAATAATTTCAAAATCTTGATCACTACCCTGTCAATTCCGACCCGACTAGTTGAGACAGGATCAGGATAAAGAAATTATTCTGTAAAAAATACACACACACACACTTCTAAACTCTTTTTTAAAGCTCACAATTTTAGTTCCAACACTTCTAAACTCTTTTTTTTAACTCTTTTTAAATATGATTTCTACATAGGTATCCTTATGTTTGACCTTTTTTATACTCCTTGTCCTAAAATAAGGTTCACGTTCACTATCCACATGGTCAAACTATATATAGTTATCTACTTTCTTTACACATTTTCAGTGACCATTTGCTAAACTAAAATAGGTAGTCATCTTATGTTTTGTAGAATTTTGTACGTTATTCTTAAATATATAAATATTATTTTTTAATTCTACACCATTTTTCAAACAAATTGAATTGAAATAAGTTTCAGTCATACATCGTAAATTGAATAGAAACCTTATTTTGGGACAGATGGGAATATGTTTTAATTCTAACAATATTACACTTTGTGTGGGCGATAATCCATTATTTTTTCACAATTTTAACGGTTTTCTGGTTGAATTATGTTCTTTTGTGAGGCATGCTTTGTGATTTTTTTTAGTTCCCAACAGCATAATATACTCTGTATCATGTAGTACACGAAATATCATTGTTTATTGTTGAGGTACCCACATAATCGGAACAGGATTTCGGAGCATGTTTAGCTTTTAATTGGGATTGGGACTTTGGTAATTGGGACTGAGATGAAGCCGATCCCACCCTACTCAAAACATAAGCTCTCGGGATAGCTACTTCAGACTTTAATTGAAAAAATGAAAAACTGAAAGATCATTGTCAAAGTAATACATACGGAGTAGTAGAATGCATGAATCATAGTTTTGAAAGGCCAGAGGGTGTTCTTTAAGGTGAGAGCCGAGCAATCAAAAGGCAAACGAGGCAAAATAATATGTATAATTATTTGAGGCGATAAGAGGTCGGAGGCAAATGCCTTTTAAAACTAGGACATGAGTGGACATCTTACATAAGTCTAGAGTGTCAAATACCTGGGGTGGTACCCAATTAACTTCCTTGATTGCATCCATAGCAGCTTCTCGGAATCCTTCCACAGAGGCAAACCATTGCTCAGTGTCCCTAACTATTGTAGGCTTTTTGGTTCTCCAGTCATATGGATACTTGTGCTCTGCACAGTTATACCAAAAATTTTATATGGAGGAAACGTGAAAAATAAAAGGTGGTACATGTTGGACCAATCTTGACATTCAGTAATAGTTAGGGGGTTTATTTTGTAATTATGTTGAAGTCTTTATTTGTTAATAATTAGGGTAGAGTCAGTCATAATTTTAGGAGATATATCTCAGATGGATTTGAGATTATCATAGCTTGTAGGAGTAGGAGATGTTATGCTTGGAGAGCAAGGCTGATGATTTAACTTGGTGGACAAGGTTAACTCATCTATAAATAGGGATAGTTTCTCTGTATTTTATGTATTCAAAGTTTTTCAATTAATTGGAGAAGGATTTCCAATAAGTTCTTGTTCTAGATTTCTGTTTTCTGTTTATCGAGATCTGGTACCAATAACTTCA